CGCCAAGCTCCAGCTGAAGCCTGGCGCTGATCCTGGTGCTTCCACTGAGCCCTGACAGTCCCGAAGAAGCGCTGATCCTGGCACTTCCGCTGAGCCCTAACAGCCCTGCAGCTCCAGCTATCTCTCACTCAGGCTTGTGTGGTGCTGCCACCGGTTCAGCTCATTCCCCTCCCCCGCTACCACTTTTCTAGGATGGTCGCGTACCACCTGCCAGGTGCCAATGTACCACAGGTGGTACCCGTACCACTGGTTGAAAAGCCCTGTCTTAGAGTATATTGCCAGCTTCTGACAAAGTCAATGGGGAACCCAGCAAGAAGTTGCAAATGGTGATCACATGCTGTTGCACGTAATGCCAGCTAACAGAAATGCCAGAACTAAGTGGCAGTCAGGTGACACTGCATTTTACAACATTTACCGACAAATTCCAATCCCAATTATCATCATTAAGTAAGGATTACCTGTACGTTACTGATAGGTTTTGATACTGTGAGCATCTTTGATAAATTTCCCTTTGAAAAGCATGTTAAACCATCTTAGTTTACCATAAGGGATTTAAAATTGAGCAAGTCGCCCCAATGACACCAGAGAATTGGGAAAAAAAGTTTTAATTATGAGAGACAACACTAGAGAAATAGTTGTCCATACACACAGCGTAGAAGAAAGGAAAATACAACAAAAACAGGCCCACTGTTTTGACAGCAAAACTCCTTTTAGCAAAAAATCTGAAACATCACAGAGAAAGGAGAGAGGGAAAATATGGGATAAGAGACAACACTTCTACTACAGAGTAACCATCATTGGGAAACCAGTGGGGGCATGGGTGGGTGGGCTGATGGTAGGTTTAGAAAAGAAAGGAACTGGGAGGATAAATGGAAAGGGGAGGGGGAAATACAGATTTTGGCCATAAAATATAAACAGGCTATGCTGCTAAAGGAGCCTCTCTGGCCAGCGAGTTGCCCCTGCCTCCACAAAATGCCCTCAAGGCTGTTTCAAGGGCTGGGCTACCAGAAGTCTCGGCGATGATAGGAGTCAGGATCGCAGTACTTGGTCACAACGACCCGGTTTGCAAACTTGCGTCCAGTGAGGCCTTGCATGGCCTTCTGACAGTCAAAGACAGATGTGAACTCCACAAATATCTACAAAAAGAACGAGGGGACAAAAGAGAAGACAATTAGTGGTACATTTTAAAAAACTTGACAATTAAAGGATTCAAATCTGGTCCAGAATGCAAGTAGGAAAATAAACTGAAGCAACTGTACCTCTATTGTAATTTGAGTCTCATGAAATGTTTCATCCATGCATCTAATCTAATTTACTTACCATACTAAATTTGTAGATAGCTGCTTTTATGAACTGATCACCACCTTACTATTCTTAAAGCTACCCAGTTTTACACTGGCTGATTTAAAACAGATAGCACTTAGCCAATCTTTAACAACTAAGCAGGTTCTGATGTGCCTAGTACAGGGGTGGGGAACCCTGGCCCTTTTTTGACTTGTGGATTCAACTCCCAGAATTCCTGACCTATCCATGCTGGCTCAGGAATTCTGGGAGTCCACAAGTCATAAAAGAGCCAGGGTTCCCCACCCCTGGCCTAGTGAAGATCCAATACAACTGATGAAGCTTCCAGGATAGGAAGCAAAACGTTTTGTTTTTTTCTCCCCCCCCCAAAAAAAAATCAGTCCAGTTGTTTTTTTCAAAATAAAAGCCACTTTTGATACCCAGTCTGCAACCAAATGGTTTACTTTACAAAAACGCCACTACCTTTTCAATTTACTTTAGAGATGGGATACCAGAAGTTTCTACAAAGGCAAAAAACAAAGCAATTCTTGGACACCAAGCCACACTTAATGAAATCCTAATTTGGATTCCCATGATTCAACCTCTTCATTCCTTAGTGGATAAGTTTGTGTTTTAGAGCAGAGCCATCCGATTGAGCACTTCTATATCCCACATATACCTTAGAGCTCACGGAGCCAAATAAATACTTAAGGACAGAAGCATTCTATGTTAACAGAGCAATAGCGTCTTCATTTCCTTCTAAAACACCATCCCATCCTGCCAACCCTACAACCATTAAGTACCTTTCCACAGCCAGGCACCTCAACTCCATCAACAGGCCGGGGGATTTCAATGGATTTGACAACACCATATTTGCTACACTCATCACGGACATCTTCAACTATCTCTTCATATTCCTCATCATCCAGGAGCTCCTCAGGTAATACCATATTCATGAGGCACAGCACCTCAGTTGGATGACCGCCCATCTGTACTTGTGAACTCATTAGACCCGGTACCTGCAGGGTCACTGGGGTCTGGTTTATTGTACTCTGGAGGGGCAGCAAGAGAGGAGAGACAAAGCCACAGAGGAATTCAACAATACAACCATTTAAACTGGCAATCCCAAACTGACTCAAACATTCTGTATTCTTTCTTTACAAGCTCTGATTTTATTTTCTGGAAGAATTCAGAGTAGCTGTTTTTTCAATCTCAAACATACCAAACAGCTCCTACTAATTCTATTTTAAAACCAAGTCCCAAAATCTGAAACTCTGAAAAGTGTTACTTCTTTGTCAACGAAATAGCTAGTTTATGTTTCTTATGACCAGCAAAAATAAGCAAAGCAGAAATAATCATTTCTGATTCTCAAAAATGTAATAACTTTTGGCTATACTGTAATTCTTTGGGTACTGGTTACTTTGGAAACTGGTTTTTCAGATCACCAGAAATCAGCATGATGCCCTATTCTTCTAATATATGGCTTCAATGCATTAGCTGATCATACCAGCAATGTCTTTATAATGACAATATTAACATTTCATTTTTGGTTTCAAATTATCCTGGGTCCATTGCATATCTGGCTAGATAGGTTTAATATAAAAATAAGAACTGAATTCAGAAATAAATGTGATGTAAACCAGGGCTTTTCAACCTGTGGTACACGTACCACTTGTGGTACATTAACGAGTGGCAGGTGGTACGCAGCCCTGCCTAGCCAAGTGTAGTGGGGGAGGGAAAGAGCCAGCGCAGGCAAGGACTTACTGTGAGAGAGTCCTCTGGAGCTGCAGAGTGGCTGGGGTGAGGCAAAGGCCCCAGGCTCACTTCTGGCTCACCCTCCCCCATGAGAAAGGAGGAGGAGGAGGGGCGGAGACAGGAGAGGCTATAAAAGGAGGCAGTTTGGGTGGGAGAGGGAGAAAAAAGAGGCAGCCCTGGGTGGAGGTGGAGGTGGAGTCAGCTCTAGCTGCACTGAAGGGGAAGGAGCAGGGTGGGGGGGGGAGAGGAAAGGAGAGGAGATCAAGCAGGCCGGCCATGAGCCGATCTACAACTTCTGTGGCAGCCACCTGTGCTGGCAGCAACAAACAGGCAAGAAATGCAGCAGGGGAGGGGTTGCCCTCCACGAGGAATGAAGAAAGGTAGCATCAGCTGGAGGTGAGACAGGGAGGGAGATGGAGAGTGGAAGGATTCTTATGTGCTTTTGTGACTTTGAAGTTCTGGGATTTGTGCAATGAGGGCTTTGTGTTCTTAAGGAGTGTTTGGCAATTTCTATTTGGCTGATGGCTGATGTCTCCTGTTAGCTTCTATTGCTCTGCTATTGTTAGCTGTAAGTTTGCTACAAGGGATTTTGAAGTATTTTTTTCCTGAATGGATTTTGCCTGTAGCATTCCTTTACTTATGAATGGAGCCATTTGGGGAGGCTGCCTTAGTTAGTACTTACATTTTTTTTCTTCCTTAAGTGCCAGCTCCGCTCCTTAACTTTCCTTTCTAGCCAGTAGCTAATTCTTAAAGGGGAATGTGCCTTTTAAGTTAGTTCACTCAGCAGCTTGTCTTTTCTGTCTCTGGAGGCTTTTCCTTGTTTGATGAATATATGGAAGAAGGAAAATATGGGGGGGGGGGGTTCAAAATCTTCCTTCAGAAGGAGATGGGCATGAGAAAGCGGGAGGGAGGGAAGTCCCGCCTTAGCGCTTGGCCACCAGCAGCCCTGCCATTGACTTTGCTTGTCAAAAGGTTGCAAAAGGGGATCACATGACCCTGGAACACTGTGACCATCATAAATATGAATCAGTTGCGAAGCATCCAAATATAAATCACATAACCCTGAGCATGCTGCAATGGTCATAAGTGTGAAAAATTGTCATAAGTCATTTCAGTGCAATTGCAACTTTGAACAGTTTTTTTGGTTTTTTTGGTCATCAAGTTTTTGACACCTTGCTAGGTGGTACTTGAATATTGCCATATCCTAAAAGTGGTACAGTCGGTGAAAAGGTTGAAAAGCCCTGATGTAAACATTTTATTATTACCGCTCCCATGTACAAGTACAGAAAATAAAGTCTATCCACTAAAGAGACCTTTATGAAAACCAAAAAGAGCCTTCACCATCTGAACAAGAGTGTTTTAGACTATCATGAAGGTTCCTGGAATACTCAACCAGAAATTGGTGGCAGCAGCTGAAGGGAGGGAGTGAAAGTGCTGGAAAGACAATGGGGACAGTCAAGCCAGCAAGACAGCTGCACTGGGAGCTTCTGGGTAGAGGAGGAGAGAAAGAAGGCAACACACACCAGCCTTGTCTTTCTCATTTGAATTATGTTTCGCCTGAAACCCAGAGCCACCAAAGATGTTTTGATATTGCCAAGCCAAGGGTGATATGAAACAGTCACAGCTGGTTCCAAATTTGAAGCATTTTCCCCACTTCATGCACACTTATTTCTAAGATAATCTAAAGCAGGCATGTCAAACTGCCAGCCCGCGGGCTGGACGCGTCATGACGAAACTGCGCCCACCCCATTGCCGGCAATGGGGAAAAAGTCGCGATACGTTCGCATGATGTCACGTGATGTTGCGAGTTTGACATGCCTGATCTAAAGGGCCTGGGAACCTTTGGCCTGAAATGGCTTCTCTCTCGTTAAGCAAGGCAAGAAACAAGTAGTTCCCCTATGCCTGCAACCATTGGCATTTGATAGTATTGATAAGACCAATCTTCTAACTTTCAGAAACAGAACCTGCAAATATATCCTGGAAAGGTTGTTTTTTGGTACTATTTTTCCCTCATCCCAATCCCTTTCCTTCCTTACCAGGGTAGCATTCTTGGCTCCCACGCTGGCTCTCTGCACCAAAAGCTTCTTGTCACCCAACTGCATGCCGTTCAACCCCGCGATGGCCTGCGAGGGCAAAAAAAAGTGAATCCAGACACTTCAAAACTTGAGCCTCTGAAGCCACCAACCTCACGCCCCTCTGCCCCAGGCTCCAAAACACATCCACACATTCATACACAAAAAGTAGCTTCTTTTATGCCCCCCAACCAGATTCCTACCTGAACTGCACTGCTCTTGGATTTAATACCACATTTAGGTTATTTACCTGCCGGGCCTGAAAATCAGCATGTTTTTTAAAAATAGATCTTGTTGGAAGGGATTAAGATGAGTCAACAAGACTGTCTGCATGAAGGAGAAGAGCAAAGGTGAGATTTCAGCCTCAGCCAAATGTTGCCAACAAAGACAGAAAATTCTAAAAGGATGCAGATGAGACCATGTATTTCTCAGAATGAGAATTCCACTGATTTGAGGTTGTCATGCTTTGGGAGTTTACATCTAACCAGTCCAGCCCCAATAAAGAATTTAGTATCAGGTTTTACAATATTGAGAATTTGTTTTCCACACAGATCAATTTCAGAAGCAAGATTATGAGGCCAAATAATTTCCCAGCTACAACATAGAAACTGAGGTTTATGAAAGAATGCACATTTCACAGTTTAAAAAAAAAATCTGGCAAGCAAATTTACTAATCCTTTTCCGCACAGATGAATCCAGTAGATGAACAGCTGGTTCAGCCAGGGATGGAGCAAAATACATATCAAACTACAACTTGGCCAAAATATTTCAAGTTATCATCTAGAATTTGTATTTATGACTGTGTAACTTCAAAATACACATATGGGCACAAATTTCCAGCATCTAATTTTCTCAGAGACAATTGTCTAATAATTTGTTTCTAGAGAAAGTAAGAGTATAAGACACAGAATCAAGAGGGGAAAAATGACAATTTTCAAAATTGATATTTTACCAATATTTGGTACAATTATATACCTGTCTAGTCAGAAAGTAATGTTCATTTATTCAGATGATGTAATCCTCTTTCCCTTAATGCCACCTGCCTCAGGATCGTCCCTTTTCCAAAGAAAATGCTCAACATTCTATTTGCAGGTTAAAATTTTAGGTCTTCTTGGCAAAATGAAATTGTTATAACTTGAACTATATATTTTAAGAATCTGTGGAGTATATAAAAAAGTCTAAGTCTCCTGAAGAATCAAGTATCTATCATTGGTAAAAAAATAAGGTTCACTAAAAATAAACCTTATTTAATAGACTCTTTCAGATACTTGCTCCTTCAGAGGATTTCTTGAAGCAAGAGTCAAATTGGGACTTTTGGTAGCATTTGATTTAATATAAATGTAACTGAAATTACATCAGAAAATGTTTTCTATGTAATCAATAATATGTCTTTGTACTGCATTACAAATAGCAATTTGATGGCAACCTTAGGAAGATCCATAAGGTGCGTCTATGGCTTTCTGGGTCCCAAGGTGTGCAGTTGCTATGCCTCTGTAGAATTATTTTTACAATTAGGGCATTTATCTTAATATCTAACCAAAAGTAATTAGTTGATGTTTGAGCAAGCTGTACTGCTTCCTCATATAAAATATATTATATATAATATTTTAATATTTAAAAAATCAGAAAAGCCTGTTAGCCTTTTCAAAGCCTGCAATTTGTGGGGTATCACTGGGTTGAATACTTTTACTCCTCCTACTATTACTACATGGACGATATTCAGTTGTGCATCTCAACAAAGCAAGCTAGGTTGTCCTGGTGTCTTGAGGGTCTGGGGAGGAACATGCTCAAACTCAATCCCATCAAGAGTAGCTGTAGATACTTGGACTCTCCCAGTTCCAGGGTTCTTTGATTCTGAATGGGATCACACTATCTCTTTCTGGATCGGTGCACAATACGGGGGTCTTCCTGGACTTTCAATTCCTGTTTAAGGAGCAGGTAGCCACTGTAAGCAGGAAGTTCTTTGTATGGATTTTGCTTCAGATGCAGCTGTTTCCGAATCATGAGACTCTCCTTATAGTCATACATGCCTTGGCTATCTAGTGAGTAGACTTACAATTCGCACTATACAAGGCTGCTCTTAACGATTAATCAGAAGCTACAATTGGTCCACCTTGCAGTGACATAAGGAGCAGACGTTATTATGCCCCTGTAACAAACCCCTTTGCTTTATGAGCTGCACTGATTATCAGTAAACTTCCTGGTGCAATTCAAGATGCTAGTTATTACCATAAAGCCCTCCATCGCATAGGTCCTATCCGAGGGGCCGTCCATCTCTTAATAGTGTCTACCAGTTCTCTATAATCAGATTTGGCTTGCTTTGGGTTCCACTGGTCAAGCAATATCATCTTGCAGAACCCAGGAAATGAACTTTTGGTTACTGAACCTACCCCTCTAGAACAGGATCCCTCAGAGATTCATACAGCTTTTACCTCACCCAACTTCAAGTGAACTCTAAAACCGTGGCTCTTTTCCCAGGTTAGGGTGTTTGACAGGCCCCTTTGGCCTGGGAATAACACAGAAAGTGTATTTTGTATGCTTTCTTGGGGCTACTGTTACTCTTTTTGTAACATTGTTGTCTTCTTAATCTGTGAAGCCATTTTGGAGGTTGGTGGCCTAGGAAGTTAGAGAGGTAAATATCCAGTCCACTCTCAGATTTACTATCTGATTTTGGATCTCATCCAAGATTTTAGCTTTTGCTAAAACCTCATAGCTTTCTCCTTGATGCAGAGACCAAAGGAGGGGAAGAGAGAGCATGGGAAAACACACACTTCCCAAGTAGCATGTGGGAAGAAAGACTGCATGGGACAGGAAGCAGGTGTGGGGGATTATATATATATATATAAATATATTTATAAATATATTTATAAATATAAATATAAGACATGTATCCATACATACTAACAATGGCACTCAATTACAAAGAAACACATGCATAACCCTGATGGAGATCAACCCCAAAACAAGAGCTTATGCTCTGCATGCAAAGTTACCACCGACACGCTCTGAGCCTTATTGGGAATTGTGGGGTGTTTCCTCTCCACCACAGGTCCCCCCTCTCCAACGGGGCAAGGGGAAACTGGGGTACTTTTCCTTTGTTTTATTGTTAAACTATAAATGTCAATACTTGCATTTTACAACTCCCACTGGAGTCAGCAAGCATGTCTGCTGATTACGGGCCTGTTCCTCCTCCCCCCGCTGTAACAGAAAGCACAGCGGGAGAAAGGAAACATAGTTATTAGGGGTGCAGAACAGAGAATTTACTGGGGGGTAGGGAAATGGGTGAAATGCACTACGGACCCGGCTCTTCCCTGACTGGTGAGGGGAGGGCTTCTTACCGGCTCTCGGTCGGGCACGGCGGCCAGGGTCTTCGCAAAAAGGCCGAAGCCTTCTCCGACTAACATTCGGGGAGAGTTGTTGTTTTTTTGGGGGGAACAAAAAGCAGAAGTGATCAGAACACTAACTCGATGGTGTCTGCCGCTAAGTCAGCAGCTGTGCTGTAAAGGAGAGAAAAGCTGGCACCCCCTAGAGGGGAGGAGGAGAGAAAAAAACACCCCACCTACTCAAAGGACAAAGAACCCCCCTCATCCCACGGGAAGACCGGCAGGCCGCTGCAGAGCAAAAATGAAAAGAGGATGAACAAGGGAGGCTGGACCTACCTGGTCTGTGACATTGATGTCCACATATTCACAGAAGGCATAACCTTTTGACAGGCCAGTGGCACTGTCCTTCACCAGATTGAAAGCCTTTAGAGGTCCAAAGGAAGTGAGCAATTCCTTGACCTGATGGAGAAGGAAGAAACAATGTTAACAATTGTCATCATACCAAATACAAGCTTTCATAGTAGCATGATAGCCGTGAAGAATTAAAACTAGTCTTTAAAGACTTATCTGGCTTTTGTAAAAAGGTTATTAAAATTAGTAAATATTTCAGGAGGAGGATTTCCCATAAAATACTAGCTCAAACTGGCTATTAACTGACTTAAACTGGCATTAGCAAAGGATTACATTGAGTATGAAACATGTCCCAGCTGGTTAAAACTTAAGGAGAATTGAGAATGAAACACTTGCCCATGTTATCCTGAATTATGTAATATACCCAGACTGACCTGATCATCATTAAGATAGTTTGGCAGACCCCCAATGAACAGTTTATGAGCAGAATCTGGGACCACTGTGGAAACGACACCTATAAGGAAGTGGGTTGACATGGCAGGAAAATATATGAAATTATACATACACTGCATACAACATTGCTAAATTTTTCCCACCCTATATATGACCAGCACTTCTTTATTCAGCAGAATTCTGATAAACCCACCTGGCACATAAACTGATGGGTTTTCAGACATGCCAGGAAGTGGTTGATAATCATGGGGGCGTCTGATCTTCAGTGACTGTCCCTGGAAAATAATCCCATCAAAAGCCATGGCCTGTGTAGTTTCATCCACAGAACGGAACTGGAACAAAGAAAAGGAAAAAACAAATGGGAAAATCGGTGTCATAGTCTCTTATAGAATGTATGGCTATTGTGATTCTTATCTCAGGACTTTTCACCTCACCCATCTTCAAGTGAACTCTAAAACCTTGGGCAAGAAGCAAAATAGGCATCTCCAATTAAATTCTACACTTATATGAGGTTAGATAATCAATGCCCGGTTATGGAAGCAGTAGACATATCTTGCAAAATTTACAAGGAATGAAATTCTCACCAATAATCTGGAAGATTGTAGAATACATAGAACAAGGAAGCTATTATTTTGTACACCCAAGGAGACATGCCCTGAGCTGAAGTGGAGATTTATGCATGTGTCCACAAAGCATTTAGAGTAGATAAAATACACAAAAAATATGAAGTTAGAAGTCAAAGAAGCTCAAGAAACTCAGCCAGATGGAATCTAAGCCTCACATAACCACTACATTTAGCATTTTTATTTTAAGAAAGTTTTTAGAAGATTGCAAATTTTTCACAATTCTCTTGGGGCTGATAACTCATATTTAAATGCATATTCATGTTTATCAAGATTAAGGTTCCAAATAATTCAACTTCTTCACCTTTAAGGTCCACAAAATTATTTTTTGGTAGGGCAGGAATACCGGGTTTATTTCTACAAGCCACCCATTCCACTTTTTACTTCTATCTCCTGTCCATTAATGCATGACATACAATCTATTTCATATTAGCTTTTTTCATGTTTGTACAAAGTCCATGTTTTACTGTTCAATTAAATGCAGACATTCAGCAAAAGGTAGCATCAGCAAGAGATGCCTTTAATTAGAATTAAATAATGAAACAAGTTTGCAGCATAATTGGAGTGCTCAAATTAGTCCCAAATTCTAGAAAACAATGCTACTGAATTTGTCAACTGAACAAATAAGCAAGACACTACTATTTCTAAAATGTCTTGCATCCAGTAAAGGTCAATCCCACTGTCTCCTGGCTTTTCTGTTTCATATATTGGAAAAGAATGGATATCTTTCCATCTGGTTTTTCAGCATTTGCATAAATTACTATTGTAAATGTTTCCTCTCCTACTATCACATTACTCTATGGAAATCTTTTCTAAAAACTGAATTTAGGCTTTTAATTAAATTTATTAACATGCAGAGGCTGGATTACTCTTACACCATCAAGCTCCACAGTTGTGGCCTAAGATCACAGTAAAACATATAGAAAGAGAATAGCTCTTATAGAGCCTCATACATAATCAAACTTTAGAACTCATGAACATGGACTACCTATGTTATATTTTGTACATTCAACAAGTCTATATGAAACAATTTTACGCATTTGCTTTGATTTCTCCAGAATCATATCTGTGCGAGTAAATCAGTAGTGTTTTAAACCTGNCAAAGAGTAGATGTATGATATAAGCTGGAATGGCAACCTGGACCACAAATAGATTACAAAATAACATTTCCTACTTGCCTGCTATGATGGTAGCAAACTGTGAAGCTATGAGGATTGCAGTCCCATACACTATTCACTTAAAGAGAAATGGAAAACTCTTTGGTCTTTCTTTTTCTTTTTGGTAGGGATAATTAAATAAGCAACCATATTTATTTCTCTGGTCATTTAGGTTGTAATACATCTCCCTCTACTAGATATAAGCACCACTGAGCTACAGTCAGGACTGCAAATAAAATATAATGCTGCCCAGGGTCTAGTGGAGTAGCAGCCATAACAAATTTAATGAAATAATAATGCCCCATTCCCATATCCGGATGTCTAAATCAGAATTCACCTCTTCAGACCTACAACATTGATCAAATGTATCAATTGTAAAAGACAAATTTAAACGATGCCGAGAAAAGATACTATATTAAACTGAGCAACTCACTGACTCAATGTAGTCATTTTGGCTCATAATGAATGAAAAGCAAGAAATGTCCTTTGAAAACAGCATCCTGTTATCTGTGTCACATAGAGAAAAACAGTTGAGCTGCTTTTTCTGTATGCTCAGCAGAGCTTCAAGCCACCATTTAACCAATTTTGGCAGTACCACTAAGGATGGTTATGTCTCTATTGCACCCAATCTCAAAAAAGTGAATGGCAGTAACCCCAAATCAAAGAGTTTTCTTTTTAAAGACAAACACTAAAATGTGTGGGGATAAGACATGATCCGATAGGAAGGAATATTTAGAATCTCCTTTCAGTCTGGCTACAATTCCCATCAGTATATCTGGAAGGTACCAGTTCAGGGAAAGCAAAAATTCATTTCATGTGATTCGCTGATGAAAAGTTTGTATCTATCAAATTTGAGTCATTAAGATGCCAGATCATAACAACAGTTTGAGCATGGCTGCATTTAGAGATTCAGTCAGCTCTTCCAACTTAAACTTCCAGTATTCCCTTTGCAAATCTTCAAATTCAATGGCAAAATGTCAAATGTGTAGTTTTTGATCCAATAATTGCAAAATAAGACTGGAAGTGAAATTCCTCTGAGTAGGAGGAGCACTCCCATTTCCATTCTTACCCCCATATTTTTGAAAAACCAGGCTGCTTTTTCTGGTGGTGTCACTGAAATTGAGCACTTGTTGCACAAGCCAAAAGTTTCAATGCTGAGCAGAGATAACAGCGCAAGCTAACAAGTACCTCAGTGATTCCAAAAGGGATATTGCCAACATAGAGACGTCGAGCTTGTCGCGTCATTTGGCTACCGACTACAGGCACAGGTGTAGGTGTTACTGCCAGCCCATCTGGAGTCATGGTTGGTAGTAGGGCTGTAGCTGGAATTTGTCCTGCAGCTAGAAATGAAAAAGTATAGTGAAAGTTACCAGTTCTGATTCTGATAAAAACATGACATATTGGGAAAGTATTGGTGACATAAATACAAAGGATTAAGGATGTGCAAAATATACCATTATGAAACATGCCAACCCCAAAACAGGCCTATTTTGTGTGTTACAGAAGTGGTTTAAAATAGGTCTAATTTGAAGATAAGAGCACTTCCAAAACACTCAGAATACCTTATTCTGGAGTCAGAACATTTTGAAGAGCCCAAAATAATCTGTAGCAACAGTGAGAATTAAGGTGTTATAAAAACATACATGGAATGATGAAGAGAACTAGCAATCCAATTACTTTTCAAAACATGTAAAAGTGTTAATTTTGTTATTTCTTCAGTAAAAAAATAACCATCTATTCACCAGCAAAGACCACAGCTATCTTTTTCCATTATGCCCAGTAAATCATCAACCCAAAATGCACCAGATACAGGAAAAATGCTCCCAAGTTGAAACAGAACATTCTGATCACAACATGAATTTTTATAGTTGTTATAAGGTCAAATTGGGGAACTCCTAGGCTGAGGCTTTTCAATGCCATTTAAAGGCCTTTTCAGTGCCTTTAAAATCATGTGTTCCTTTTTTATTAATTTTTACCCCACCTTATTACTTTATAAGAAACTCAAGGCAGCCAACTCCTTCCTCCTATTTTCCCAACAACCCTATGAGGTGGGCTGGGCTGAGAGAGTGAATGACTCCAAATCACCCAGCCAGCTTTCATGCCTAAGGTGGGACTAGAACTCCAGAGTTTCATGGTTTCCAGGCTAGCACCTTAATCATATCAAACTGGTTCACACATACTCACTGCTTCTTCCTTCTAAGCAGCACAGTCACAGACATGACAGCCTGTGGTTTGTTTAAGATTAATAACATCATACAGCTCTGCTACTGAAAAACACCAGCCAAATTTAAATATGAATTTGGTCTATGATTAATAAAACCTAGATGTTCTGTCACATAAACCACAGAACAATCTTTAGGTTAAGCTCTGTGGTTAATGAAATCCAGAAGTAGCAGTTAAAAACATGCTTATTGTTAAATCACAGACAAACAATTTTGTGGCTATGACTTGCAGGAAGTACTGGATATGCCTTCAATTGACATTTAATAGGGTTTGCAGTTTGATATAGCACTTTAGCTCCTATGCACTTTGTGGGATTCTGCACATAGGTACATTTCTATTAGACATGATTCTTCAACCAGCCCTTTGGCAAGGACAACTGACGTCATTTTCCTCTTTTTCCCTGTTCCCATCCAGGTTTATTTGGCCTGCTATCTCTGTTCTTCTGTTTTGTATTGTTTCTGTATTTCTAGTTTTAAATGTTTTTAACAATTTACAAACTGTCCAGAGTTGCTAAGAGCCAAGCAGCTTATCAATGTAATAAATTATTACCCCCATTTTAAAATCACATTATGGTATTTTTATGCATTGTTTATAGCATGATGGAAGGGCAACAATTATAATTATTGTAACTCAAGATACAAAAATCCAAAGATTAATAAAAAGAATTTCACCAATGAAAGTTATAATATATTGATAATCAAATTCATGGATGTTAACTCAACTGCAAGCCTTACAGAGACTGGTGAGACATGTTTTGAGGAGACATAGATGAGATACTGAGGGAGGCCACTCAAGGTAGATGTGCAATGAAGCAACTAGCGAGTAGGGCCACGCATGCTCTCTATTACTGACCTGCCCAAAGTTCAAACTGCCAGGGAAGGGACAAAAATCTGTTACCAGAGAGAGATCAAAACTGCTTGCTTCAGATTTTTAAATTATGCAAGCTGCCTATCCCTGTTCTAAAACTGAGTGAATCAAGGTGACTTAAAGAGAAGCCTACCCTGCATAGCTTTATACTGCATGGGTGTAATGTGCTCAAAACCTGGAGGAGGGACATCCCAATACTTGCGGATTTTCTTCTTCTTCTCATGCCGGGGAGAACGGCTGTAGTGGGGAGCAAGAGTAAAATATTAGTAGGAAGAAAAAAAAAACATACTTTACTGTAATCTTAACATTAAAATGAATTCCTAGTCAAGTCTACGCTTATTCCAGTTGGGATATTATACACGTAATATCCAGGATCAATCTTTTTAATTTAACAACCCCTACAATTAATTCTGATTCTTGCATTGTTTCCTTTAATTTTAGGGGGGGGGGGGGGTTAGTGAAGCCTCCTATGGCTTTTTGTTGTCCTTGGCAGCACTAGGAAGAACTGGCAATGCTTACCTTAGAGGACCTGACAGGCTTAGAGGAGATCTGAAAAGCAAAAACAAAATGGGTTTAAAGCAGCCCCAGAAAAACATTCATAGAAATGTAATAACATTAATTTAATAGCTTTGTCAACCTTGCAACTGTGAGCAGAGGTGCAACCAATGTAGGCAAATGAGCAGTGTAAGAAAAAAAGTTCCAGAAAGAACTTTATTCATTTATTATTGTGGCATATGACATTTCTAACTGGGTTTAAAAAGTGTCCAGGCACAAATACCTATATCATGTGTATCCATCACCAAGGACACTGGATGCCAGATATTAATCAGTAAGAAGAGTGTTTGATTATCAATAATAAAATTCCAGGGTTTTCAAAGGAAAAAGCTGTTTCAATCACATATATAAGATAAAGATACAGCAAAATACTGCAATAGTCCTGCTGGCCAAGGAAACAAAAGTTTAAAGACAAGGAGAAAACCAGAAATATAATTGTAAAGCAGTTTGTAGGCTTTCCAATCCCACATTTTACAAAAAAGATATGGTAAACAAAAATTTAACGTCAAAAAACAACCTAATAGTTTCTATTGTATTACATTTCTCTGCTACTCCTTTCTTTTTAGTCTCCTGAAGCTTTGTTAAATTCTTCATTTCCCAACTCACCCAATATGCAGAGGCAAAATAGTTGGCAAGACTACAAAGGATGCAGTAGATAATTTACAGGAGATACTGCTTACGTGCAATTTCAGCATGCTCTCGTATAGCTCTGACATTAACTACTTTCATTTTGGCGATAACTGAACACACTTTTGTAACAAATTTAGTTTCAGCAGGGTAACTAATCATTCATTTCCAATGATAATTAATTAGCTCCATTTGCCAAAATTACAATTTTACAAAAATAGACTTTTGGTCTCTAGTAATCTGGATTATTAGATATTATTATGGTCTCAAAGAATGTTCAAAAACTGTTTCTCTAAATTTACAGTTTTCAGAAAAATCACTATTCTGCATAATTCTGAATGGCAAAAGGATCCATGTTTCTGAGGTTTTGCCTAAGATTCTCTACTCAGTATAAAAATGTTGTTGAGGATCTGTACCTGCGCCTCCTGCGATCTCGTGAAACACTGCGCTGATCCCTGTTGCGCCTGTCACGGCTACGACTGCGACGTTTCCTGTCACGACTCCGTGAACGACTGTGGCTGCGTTTACGATGACGATTCTCTTTATCACGTTCTAAAGGCAACAGAACACAGTGAGCCATCAGCTGCTGCTTCCGAACAGAGAACATATCTCCTCTGGTTGTTGCGACCCATTTCATTTCCCTAAAACAGTGAGCGGGTGGGGTTTTTTTGGCTTTCAAAGGAGAACATTAAGGAAAAGAAACAGTGCCAAGAAGAAACTGATACCATGATTGGATCATGTCTGTTGTATAATCATCTGGATTATCTTAATTGCCCCTAGAAAATGGCAACAACAAATGGATTGAACAGGAGAAATAGAGACAATAGATTAAATTGTTTCAGAATTTCTCAACATTAATATGGCACAAAACTATCTCAAAGTTTATCTCCAAATCTAGCAAGCAGAGTGTTTGTTTGGCCCAATTTGGAAACCCTTGATGCATACCTCGAGACACACATTATTTTCCATGATATTTTTCTAACATATTCTCAAGGAGCAAAAAATGAGGTAATCTAAATAAAATTTGGTGTCAACAATTTAATTTCTTTAAAAATCAAAACCAAGTAATCTGTTTTCTATTTAAAAAAAAACACTGAGGAAAATCTGGGCATAATTCTATCCAGATTTTTTAGACTTTTAGATACAAACACCACATAACAAAAACAAAGTAAAACAGCATGAGGGAAAGGGTATCAAATGATATACCTGTCTGCTTCTAAAATATATCAATAGCTATAATTGCAAGAATGCAGGATGTTATTTCAACTAATACTGCTTTCTAATAGTTCTGAACTACTACGAGATCTACTATAGGAGGGGTATGGAACAGAATTAGATACAAAACAATAGATCTCAAACGAAGAACTGTTCTGGAGACGGGAGAAGACTGATGCAGCTGCACTGGACACAAACAATGTTTTAGAACTAGTACAAAATGTTATTTGTGTGGTCAATGGGACTGTTTTAAGATTCTTTGGTAACAGGCATACAATACAGAAATTTCTGCGTTGAAAACACTCATGCAAAGCAGAAAGTCCTAATGGAAGTGAAAACAGGGAAGCTTCAGTTTTAACTAAGGATCTATAAAACAATATTTTTTAAAAAAACAGCATGCTGTCTCTTCTATTTCTATATATTAGTCATATAATCCAAATTATGCTAAACATTCTTATGCCCTAGTTTCACCATCAAGAAAGCTTAAACAAGGACCCACATTGCTTCCATTTGGTATACGCAAGATGTCCAAAAGTCTCCAGTTTTAAAAAAAATGGACTGAATTTTAGAAAACCCATGAATGCTTGTACTTTCAGAAAGGGTGGAACAGATTTATTTCAAAGGAAATCCATTCTGGGGAGCAAAGAGGCAGCTTCTGAATTATACTGTTCAAAAGCAGAACACGAATAATTTGCATTCTTAGAACTACACCCTCTGTTTTGCTTCAATGCTAGCAACCAGGCAGTGGATAATAACAAATTTGGCCTAGGAGTCTGTGAATTATTGTGATTCCCACCAAACAGAAATAGGTATGTCACTAGGGAGTGAAATCAGGAATACAGTACTGTAGCTTAATCCAAATATTTTGACTGATACAAGGAAACATCTACTGCCAAGATATTATTCTACGGTGTTTTCTGAAGAAGCATAGACAGGTAGTCTTCGACTTACCACCACTCATTTAGTGACCATTCTAAGTTTCAATGGCACTGAAAAAAGTGACATATGACCAATTTTCACACTTACGACCGTTGCATCGTCATGTGATCACCATTTGTAACCTTTCCAGCCATCTTCCGACTAGCAGTCAACGGGGGAAGTCAGAATCGCTTAATGACCACAACTGAAGTGATTCACTTAATTGTGGCAAAAAAGATGAAATGAGGCAACTCATTTAACAACTGCCTTAACTAGGGAAATTTGGGGCTCAATTGTGGTCGTTAGTCGAGAACTACCTGTACTGTATAATTTAACCTCTGGCGCCTCCAACTCGGAGAAGGAAAAGGCCCCCATCCGAAATCCCCTTGGAACAGCTGTCAGGCCACATGGCCTTTAGTAAGGCTGAGAGAGGCAGCTTCCTGGCGGGGCCTAGGAAGCCACCTTCCATTCACCGCTCGCGTCACTCCCACCATGGCGCCCGAGGAAAGTGGCCGAAAGCGCGGATTTTGCTAACTTGCAGCTCTCCGATTCGCCTTTCTTCTGCCCTGGCAGGAACGCCCGTAACGCAGGAGAGCCTCCTCTCCCAAGTGCGGCCTCGCATCCCCGCTCGGCTCCAGGAAGGGGAGGGGGTGCACCACGTGCGTTCTCCAACTCTGTGGACAACCCCCCCCCGCAATCCCGAAAAACGGAGGGCTTTCCCCCCACACACACACCTTTCCCACCCACCCCCTCGGCGTTCCCCTCCCCCACTCGTTTTAAACGCACGCCGCGCACTCGGCCGCCAATGGTCCCGGGCGCGCGGCCTCGCCTCCTTCCTTCCCTCCCCTCCCCCACGAACCACTTCAGACTCGCGCCAAATTAGGCGGAGAGAGCGGGATGGTAAAGAGCAGGAGGCGGCCGGGCGCACGAGGGTCCCCCACCCTCCTCTTCAACGGGGCCTTCCAAGGCAGCCGATGGGCGGTGTCGAAAACCAGGGGAGTGAAGAACGGAGCGGCCAACGGTGAAAGGGAAGCACCGCCGCCGCCTCGTACTTCTTTTTTCTCCCTCTAGCTTGGACCCGGCCACTTACTTGCCCCCACCACGCTTGCTTACCCTGTTTGTTTTCATTTAGCTGCCGCTCGAACTCGTCGAAGTCCGACATAGCTGCGGAGAAGGGAGGAGGACGTCCCCTGGTCCGGCCTAGCTACGGTTGTAATGTGGCGCCTGCTAGCCCAGGACCTCCTCACACAGTAGGCCTCAACAGCGCCTTCTCTGGGAGTTCGGCAACTTCCGGTGACTGCTTCGGATGTGAACGGAAACTCTCGGCTATCTCCGGAAGGCCTTTCGAGAAGTGGTTGGCCTTCTCCCCTCCTACTTCACAGAAGCTCTCGGGAAAGTCTGCCTCTCTAGGAAAGTTTCGGATTCTTATGGAGAGACTCGGATACTCTTTTTAACGTCATTTCCTTCGTCTTAAAACCTTTCGGGCGCCTGACACGTGCCTTTGTATTCCCGCTTAAAACAAAACAAAACCCCCAAAAACAAAAAACCGTGGCTTCTTAAAAATAAAGGTTCTTAAGTATTTCCGCCGGATGTTGCTTGAGTGCTTCCTGTGGATTTTTTACAGAGTGCCTGTACGGTGGCTGGGCTTTCAACGTCAATGTACAAAACAGCGGAAGAATGAGAGTAGTCTTTTTTAATCTTAATTGTTTTCATTTGTGAAATATACTAAATTAAATAATTTCACATGCTGGACTTACATACCATACTGTGGCGCTAAAAAAGACGAAGATGCTTAGCATGTTGCATGGATGTAGCTATATTTTCAGGGCATATTCATGTTATATGAACACACGCACCCTCATTTGATGTGTATTGAGTGTCACGCAAACCTAGAAAATTGGTTCATTTAATAAACCCTGAATAGCCTTGTTTAAACATATGAGCACAGACAAGCATGGGAAGTTGTTAAAATGTAGGCAATGCATACCTGGTAGATTTTTGTATTCAGGTTGCCAGTTGGCACTGAATTTTTACTAAAATACTTGTAGGGATGTAATTCATGAAACACTATTCTTTCCAGGCCAACTGTTCTAATATAAAGAGCACTATTTTTCCTTTTTCACGAGGATCATGCTAATTAATGCTATAGAAAGATAATTGCTGGTTTTTATGTTTTTGAAAGGGAACAGACATGTTCCTAAAGCTTGTGTAATCTGTGGTCTTTCCCTAACAACCTAGCATAATTCTGTCTACAGGACCACCCTGTGCTACTTTATGGTGCATTTTCCTGCATATTTTCTTAGGGGCTATACTTTCATCTTCCATGTTGAATTTTATCAGCATGAAAGTTTCTCCATTTCTTTATAAAAATTCAAAAGTGTTACCTATTTCTTTTTTCTAATGCACCACTTATTTGCAAATTGTCTCTTGAACTTACTGTGCTCTCATTTTAAACATATTTTTCTGCCTTTTAGGAAACTTTGAAGTGATGTAGGTTCTGTATACTATTATACACTTATAAATCCCATCTTTCTACAAATTTAACTGGTAAACTAACCAGTGCTCCCATCTTACCAAGGGAAAACCAACTGAGCAAGTCCAAATGTAATCCAGGAACTCTCGGAGAATGAAGGTGTTGGAAGTCAGCACCCACCCACCTTCCTAGAAAATATACTGCTCACAAAAATAAAGGGAACGCAAACTCCTTCAGTTCCATGTTAAAATGTTCCCTTTATTTTTGTGAGCAGTATACTTTGGAGAATATTAAGAAGACAGATTATTATATTTCCCCAAAGGAATAATGGAGAAAAAAAATCTTAAAAGCAGCCCCTGCCCCCAGCAGAAACTGAGCAGGCCAACTTTTAGAAATGCAGATTTGATAATCCCATTCATAAACAAAATGCCTTTAGACACAGCCCCAGAGAAGGTTTGAGCTGATGGGATTAGAAAAACAAAGATTTCAAGGACAGGAACATGACCTTTAGGACATAATAGGATTAACCCACCACCATTAGAATACCAAAAGGGCACACTCAAGCTCAGGTCAAAGTACATGGAACAGGAACAACCTCGAATACAAAGCCCAAAGAAGATATAAAAACCCACCCACTCCCAACTCCATTTTGTCAGCCACCCCAGAAACATGCTGTGTCACTGAAGTTTCTGGTAACTAAATAAACAAGAACCTTCTTTCCCAAGCAGCCTCCATTTTATTTACTCCCGGCTTGGACTGGACCTGAAGATTTTTCTTTCAGCAAAGGAAATTGGACTTTTCCACTCTAATAATTCACACATTTGTTTTCCCAGGCTATATATTTGCCCCATTTTGCAATGTGTTACACAAGGTTATGTAAAAAAAATACATAGTACAGAATGTTATACCAAAATGTTCTCTTTAATTTAAATTCTGTTTTAATAAAATGTTTAATATTTTCTTTTTAATTTCTTTTTTAACACAGAAAACCGATTGGAGAGAAAGAAATTACAGGTACAGTGGGAAGAGTTTGCTAATTACACTGAATAAAAAGGAAGCACCCTCAAGGAATACAATATATCAGGGCTTTTCAACCTTTCCACCCATTGTACCACTTTTAGGATATGGCAATATCCGAGTACCACCAGTCATCTAGCAAGGTGTCAAAAACTTGATGACCCAAAAAAAAAAGGAAAAAAGTGATAAAGTACAGATAGTCCTCGACTTACAACAGTTTGCTTAGTGACTGTTTGAAGTTACAATGGCACTAAAAAAAAGTGCCCCCCAAGCCACAGCCGAGCAAGACACCTGCCTGCCCACCCAGTGGCACTCTTCCTCCTGTCCGAGGTTTTCATTGTGAGCATTTCTGTTGAGGATTGGCAGCGGGGGTGGGGGGTGTTTGGTTTTTATTCCCCGTCTGCTGGGTGGTTGCAGCAGGTTTTGGTCACTTCACATGACCCTGGGCACTGTGACCGTCATAAATATGAATCAGTTGCCAAGCATCTGAATGTAAATCACAAGACCCTGGAGATGCTGCAACATTCCAGCTGATTGGCGCTTTTTCTGGGCTCAGCAGAAACGCCAGGATCAGTGCCGAACTCCAGCTGGGGCCTGGCGCTGATCCTGGTGCTTCCGCTGAGCCCTGACAGCCCCAAAGAAGCGCCGATCAGCAGGAAAGCGGCACTGATCCTGGCGCTTCCGCTGAGCCCTGACAGCCCTGCAGCTCCAGCCGTCTCTCGCTCAGGCTTGTGCGGTGCTGCCACAGGTTCAGCTCATTCCCCTCCCCTGCTACCACTTTTCTAGGAAGGTCGCGTACCACCTGCCAGGTGCCAATGTACCACAGGTGGTACCCGTACCACTGGTTGAAAAGCCCTGCAATATATAATTCAAGTCCTTGCATTCAAACACACTTCCTCACGAACATACTGAGGGGGGGGGGGAGTAAAATTGCCAGCAGAAAAATCCAGTTGAGGGCTTGGAGTGGGACAATAGCTAGGGAAAAGTTTTAGACAATACCTTCCAAAACTATGTGGTAAAAGATGTAGTAGGGGCTTAGGATGTGAGACCATCTTTGGGAGACAATAGGAAAGCAGAGGCAGCTCAATTCTGCAATTCTTCCAGTCATAGCAAGATTGTAGTGAAAATTGAATGGTAACAACAGCAGCAAAAAAAGAATTGATACAGTACCAGTAGCATCTGCTAACAGCTCAGAAAACACGGAAAAGGTTTTCAAGCAAGGAGAGGTAAAACTACAGAAGTGCATCATGCAACCCTTATTTTCCCTCTTCCAGTTTAGAAAAGAATAAGTTATGTTGGTTAGAGTGAGTTGGCTCTCACTGAGGCAACTCCTCTCCCTCAGGCTACTGTTATTTAACCTACTGTTAGATGGTGGCCCTTAAGGTAAGACCAAATCACCCTAACCAACAAAGTTGGGAACATAACTGCTGCTGACAGGGACATTTTTGCAAACTTTTACCATCTTCTTGTTATATCATTTGTTTTGACATATCCCAAATGACAGTTTATTTTACAAAATGTGCAAGGCTATAATTACCATCAATCAATAAACTAACATTGTTAGCTGTTTCAAGTTACCTGTGCAACAATAACAATCTATCCATGATGTTATTTATTGTGGGGTGGGACACAATATTATGTCTGCCAACTCCTCCTTCGCCATTGTTTCTCCTCTGGCCAAACTCTCAAATGGAAGGAGGGAAAATGAAAGCAATCTGGTAGCTGTGGGGAAGGCTTTAAAGAGGGAAGCATAGATAGGCAGATCTATAGTCAAGTAATAATCCTAGGAAACCACACCTAGGCCTTTTGTGTAATGATAAGCTGGTCCTTCCTGTGAAACAGTGGCTTCATTCAGTAAACCTAGGAAAAGGTGGGAGGTTATTGTGCATCATGGTAGAAAACTCAACACTCTGAGAGTTTGCTGAATAATGGATGGGGGTTGGGGGGTGCAGGAGGTACAAAGAAAGAGGTCAAAGGGCTGGCAAAGTAGGTTCCGGCAGTAGCTCCAGGAGAGAATTCATCGCATGTAACATTCAGCGATCGGCAAAAGTTGATTGGGTGGGGCGGCAGGAGAAGGGACAGAGTTGCCAGCAGCTGAGCCAGGAGAGTCTGTTTTCCTCTTAAAGCGGTAAGTGATGGGCAGTAGAAGCTTGCTTTTCTTGAGGGCCTGCACTTTCTTGAGCGTCTCATCATCTAGCGCCATGAAACATCGCCGGGAATATTCAAGCAGACGCTCCTTAGATGAGTCAAACTCACCCACTTCAGCCAATTTTTCAGGAGCAACAATAAGGAGCTCTGCTATGGGGGTGGTCAAGGCCACAGTGTTACGGTCCACCCGGTGATGTTCAAATGCCCGACTCATGCTTTGCAGCTTCTGAAAAGTGTACAGGATCTTCTTATACCGGCAGAGAACTCCATCCACATCCTTCACTGTATGGTGAATTTGGGTTCAGGTGGACAATACCATGGAGGATAGAGACAAACAGCAGTGTAATTGAACAGCAAAATGCAGAAAGAGAAGAACAGCACCTCATGAACACCAGACATCATGAAAGCCAAGATGAAAGAAATGAAAAATTGCCATTAAGGCAAGAAAGCAACAAGTTGGGATGGAGAAGCAGATAAGGACATGATGTGGGAGGGTTATAATATGCCGTACAGGACAGGAAAGGCAAAAGGCAAAAAATAAATCAGGGATCAGGTTAAAAAATATATACATTTATAGTTGAGAACGTCAATAAATATGAAAAGATGAATACAGGGACAGAGAAGATAGGTTGCAAAAAGAAGGAAAGAAAAGTCAAGCAGGAGGCATATATCATAATTGTCAAGATCAGAAATAGGAAATAAGATGGTGAGTAGTTTAAGGATGGATCAAAAAAAAGAGGGAAGGGAAGGGCAAGGTGAGGAGGGGAGGGAGAGGAAAGGAGAACAGATTATTTCTTTTTACCAAGACTTGAGGCTTTAATGCAGTGGTTCTCAACCTTCCTAATGCCACGACCCTTTAATACAGTTCCTCATGTTGTGGTGACCCCCAACCATAAAATTATTTTCGTTGCTATTTCATAACTGTAATTTTGCTACTGTTATGAATCGTAATGTAAATATCTGATATGCAGGATGTATTTTCATTGTTACGAATTGAACATAATTAAAGCATAGTGATTAATCACAAAAACAATATGTAATTATATATTGTGAAATATTTATTTCTAATTACAAATAAATGAAATTTTGTCTTGAAGCATGGGTGCCGAATCACACCTTCAGCTGCTCCACCTATGACTCTGAAGGGAGACCTGACCTTTTCTCTTCTTTAAATGAGCCCTTGAAGTTTCCTGATTAGGTTAAGCATGACCTGTGAAAAATTAATATGATTGTTAAGGTGACCAACTTTTTTACAATGAAAAGGAGGACACAAATAAATTGAAGAAAAAAATATTGTAAATAAAAGAAACATTTTATTCATTGCAACAACAATACAGAATACACTATAATATGATAAATGCATAATAAAAACATTTGTAACAATAACATTTTATATTGTAATTATGCTTACATGCCTATTAATTATTACTTAAATGAGTACTTTTCCATTGAATGAATATTTTTGTCAATGTATCATCTTCTAACAATATATTGGAAATATCTGAACAAGAAATATCCTTCATATTGAATTTTACGGCAAGTGCTGCAGCTAGAGTATCAACATTCAATCTCGATTTCTCACTTTTCCAAAAATCATTAGCAATTGAAAAAACCCTTTCAACTGCTGCNGAATTTAAAAATACATTCAGTCTTCTAATTTCTTCAAAGAGACAATTGTCGTCTATTTTAATGTCTGGCATTTCTTTAGATAAAAACTCAACACAAGATTCAATATCTGTCCAATATACTTGCGATGAAGTCAAAAAACACCATTGAAAACTGTTATTTCCTGTGATGTTTGTTTCAGACCATTCTTCGATATATTGAAGCCAATAGGGGGAGTAGCACAGCTCATGCAAAAGTTGAAAAAAAACCCATCAAAAAAAGGTGCCGGAACGCCGTTCTGAGCGTTCTATGAGAAAAAAAAGCTCTGCAGATTAGTCTTCAAATATCGAAAAGGAGGACATGTAGGAGGACACTTTTCGAGGGAGGAAAGAACTTACAAAAGGAGGACCGTCCTCCCTAAAGGAGGACGGTTGGTCACCTTATAAATTCCCACAAGGAGAATTTTTATTTTATTTAAAATTATTTCCACTATTAAAATTCTACCCTCTTCGTCTTTATAAATTTGCTTTGCCAAAATTTCATGTTTGATATATGCTACAACTCCTCCTTTCTTGTATTGTGTGAGTGCCGCAAACATGTTTCCCAATTTAGGGCAGTTTAATAAATATTGATATGGTTTTTTTATATGAACTTCTTGTAGCATAATTATATCTAAGTTCATCTTATTAAGTTTATTTAAAAACTTTTTCCTTTTTATTGGAGAGTTGAGACCATTAACATTGATGGATATGGATTCAACACCTTTTTCCCCTCCTTATCTATATTTGGATCTGGTTATTATTGTCGGCCTAGACTCTTGAGATTGTAAATCCTTTTCTCTTTCCACTACCGATCTTGTCGGTCTAGCCTCTTTAATTTCTTTAGGTCTATTCTCATCATGTTTCCCTTCATTTTTCCCATTGTCAATATCCTCTCTAATCTCAACTCGCTTGCCTTTAGGTTGCATTTCCTTTCCTTCAGTGGCCTGGCCTGGTGTTTCGCCTTCCTCTCTTACCTCTCTTTCAACTAGGTCTTCCTCACTGCCAAAGTTTTTTCTATAAAATTCCTCTGCTTTATCCATTGAGTCTAAACGGAACTTTTTCTCCTCCAAACCAACCTCCCCACTTATTTACAGTTTTTGTAATATTTTCCAGAATATCAGAATTATCACTTAAAGTCAAAAATTTCTGCACCAATAACTACTTGACATTTACAGGCGAGACTGAATACACTCAACAATCACTTTCCCTTATTGTTTTTTTCCCCTCTTGTGGCTCTTCTCAATTCAGCCAGCAGGTGTCTCTTTGGCTTTGTCTCTGATATTCAATCTGCCTGTTTATTTCAAAATGTCTACCTCCTTAGTTTCTTCCAGGCTTTCACTCTGTGACTTGAAGTAAGCTTGCCTTTCAAAGTTAAACTTTCCTTCCTTGAAATAAAGAAAGAAAAAAGAGACTCCTCTTCTCCTTAAGTCCAACCAACGTAATGTTTCCGCCGTATAGGCAAACCTTTTAAGCCCAAACCTTCCTTTTTGCCGCTTTTTCAGAAGCGAGGGAAAATCCCTCCTCCCCTCTTGTGGGCATTCAAAATCTTCAAGTTTCTCTCGAAATCCTCCGGAGCATTCTTGCGCCAGATCCCTTCTGTCCAGTTGTCAGGATCACTGCTCGGATTACATTTGACTGGAGCTGTCACGTCTCCGTCCAGCTATACCACCGCTACACTTCGGCCAGCTGGCAGCTGGCACCCAGTTGCCTATCCTTGCAATACTGTAAAGATCTTGTTTTTCAAACTCTAGATTCTCCTTCCTACTTCTTCCTTTCTTTCCTCAAAATAAAAAATACTTATACTGCAATATCATAAAATCTCTGTTATAATATTGTAGGGGTTCTGCTGGATCAAATCAAAATTGTCTATTTCAGGATTTTGTTCCCATAGCTAATGAGATGTTTCCAAAAAGCCAAAAATAGGAGAATGCTAAGCCTCACGCCTATACTGTAGGGGTAGCATGCGTGCAGCACACTGCCGTATTCTGCACCCCCACAAATCTCATAATTCTATACCCCTTACTCCTATGCCCTTTGCTCCAGTAAAGCAGCCAAAAGGTCACAACACCCCTCTCACTTAATGCCTCACGTACTGAAATAGATAACAGGCTTAGTTCCTTCTTCTATCTTCCTGTATTTGTTAGTTCCTTCTTCTTTGATCCTTATCTAGTTGTTGACCATATAATATGTAACTGGAAAATAGTTGGTTAGATGAAAGAATTGTACAATGAATAAACAATTGTCAAGCATTGAATGATTCAAGAAGCTTGTGCATGTAACAAGGAATATAAAAGCAATAAACACGACAGAGGTTGTCAGCAGCTTCAGCTTCTACTCAAAACATGCCTGTGACTGTTTCTTAGCGTCCGACACTATACATACACACCGGTATTACCTAGCAACTGATGGTCAAGTGCTTGGTTGCATTTCTCCTGTATGTGTTTTCCAGTGTCTCAATTCCTTTGTACTAGAAAAGCATCTTCCAATGTAGGCATTATCACTCAGAGATGATATTCATTGATATTTCATATCAATGTTACAAATGTGTTCTTTTGTGGTTTCCAATCTTTCTTTGCAATCATAAATAGGGATGAATTCAATGTATAAATTTAAAAAAATGATTAAAACTGTGCCAATTGTTGCGGGGAAAAGAAAAGGAAGGGATATTAGGCATGTCGAGTCATTTACAGAATAATAAAAGTGGGATATAAATAAATAAGTTGCAACATATCTAATATGCTTGTAATTATTGCCTTTGTTAAACATAAAGGGAGAAGATTGGAATGAATATATGCTCATCTTTTATTTGTCTGCTGTTGGATGTTTGCAATAAAACAGTTTCTAATTCCATTTTTATTGTCTTTTCACTTAATTACATGGAGGTTTTAATTTTATATTTATTGTGCAATGAGACATTAGTTTACCCAAGTGAAGAGTTTTATCAGGGATTCATGCTCTGGGCTACATATTTTTAAAGGTGGAGAAAGATAAAAAGTTTCACTGGAATGGGACACTGCTGGGGGAAAAAAAAGTTTGGGAACCACTGTTTTAGTGAAAAATGCCAATTTTTTTTTATAAAGTATTTTATTAGGTTTTATAAGGGTGGGAAAGGAATGGGATCGGTACGGGTATGGAAAAAGGTAAAGATAAGGGGTTAGGGATGAGGTAAGGGTGGGTACAATAATGGGGTTGCCCCCAACAGAAATTCCACGCTTTAGCAAACAGATTACCGTCCGGGTGTAAATATTAAGTAAGCATAACTAGTATAATACTAAACAGTTATAATAAACTGTGTTAACAATAATCATAAAAATAAAGGTTAGTAAATACATATCATTCATCTTACTAAATAACAATAATTAATAAAGTACTAGTTAATTATAGTCACTAATGTTTCAAATCACTGGTGATAGTAATATTCATAAGCTAAAAGAGAAGCTTAATTGGAAAATATCATTCATCCTATTTGGTTTCAGAATCTTTTTTCGCTCTATCGTATTGCTAACCATTGATAAAATTTTTCCCATGTTTTAAAATAGATAGAGTCTTCTTTCTCTTTAATCTCTAAAGTTAATCTATCCATTTCAGCACATTCTAGAATTTTAGTAATTATAATCTGGTCAGGTGGTAAATTTTCATTTTTCCAAAATTGGGCAAATACTATTCTCGCCGCTGTCAACACATATTCATTCTCTTTTCTGTAATTAATTCCTAATATTCCTAACAAAAACAGTTCTGGCTTAAATTCTATTTGTATTTTAGTCATTTTTTCCAGCCATAAGTGAATCTTAAACCAAAATTTCTTTGCCTTAGGGCATATCCACCAGGCATGATAGTAAGTACCTGGTTTTTGTTTACATTTCTAGCAAATATTTGATACATTTGTAAACATTTTCGCTAATCTAACTGGTGTCATATGCCATCTATAAAACATTTTATATAAGTTCTCTTTATATGAGGCTGCTTTAGTTAAGTTTAATGTTTCTATCCCAAAGTTTTTGCCAGTCTTCTAAGTCTATAGAATATCCCAAAAAAATTGCCCATACTATCATTGTTTCTTTCACTTGTTCTTCTTCCATCTTCCAACTGAACAGAAATTTATAGAGTTTCTTAATCAGATTTTCATCTGTTGTTAAAAGTATTTTGTCAATTGGTATCTGTTCTTTATAAAATCCCATTGATTTTACATCTTTTTCATATCTTGTTTGAATTTGCAAATAAGACCACCAAGTTAAATCAATACCTTGTTGTTGAAGAGCTTGCCTGTCTTTAAGTTTTCCATCCTTATCCAAGATGTCTTTGTAAGTAACGAGTTTATCATAATTAGTTAAATTTGGGTAGGCAAACGCTTCCATTGTAGAAAGCCACTCAGGTATTTTCGTATACATTTTGTGTTTAATTCTCTCCCACTCTAAAAGCAGTACATTCCTTATGACATGGTTTTGAAAATATTTATGTACTTTATTTTTCTCATACCACATAAACGCATGCCAACCTAATTGCAGATCATGTCCCTCTAAGTAAAGAAGTCGTTTGTTTCTCAATGTAATCCATTCTTTAAGCCAAAGCAGAATAGCTGCTTGATAAAGTCTCCAGTCCGGGAGTCCAAAGCCCCCTCTGTCTTTAGATTCTTGTAGTAATTTAATTTTAATTCTTGCTTTCTTTTCTTGCCATATAAATCTCAGTATTGTTGCGTTTAAATAATCAAAAAAATTCTTGGTCAATTTGACAGGAACTGTTTGGAATAGGAAAAGTAGCTTTGGTAAGATATTCATCTTAACAGTCGCTATTCTTCCTAACAGTGATAGTTGAAGATTTTTCCACTTTTCCAAGTCTGCTTTTATTTGTTTCAATAGTCTCTCGTAATTATCCTCTTTTAATGTTGTATATTTTGCTGTTAAATGAATACCTAAGTATTTAACTTTTTTAGCTATTTGAAGATTGGTCTTTTTAGCGAGTTGAGTTTTCTGTTTATCTGTTAGGTTTTTTGTTAAGACTTTAGTCTTTTCCCTATTTATTTTCAATCCAGCTACTTCTCAAAATTTCTCTATTATCTGCAAAAGTTTGGTGGCTGTTTCCAATGGCTCCTCCAGAATAAAAACCAAATCATCTGCAAAAGCCTGTAGTTTATATTTCTGGTATTTTATCTCCAATCCTTTGATTTCCGTATCCTGCCTAATATTCCTAGCCAACACTTCCAATGTAAGAATATATAACAAAGGAGACAATGGGCATCCCTGTCTTGTGCCTTTTTTAATATCAAAACCGTCTGTATAGTCTCCATTTAGAAGTATCCTTGCTGTTTGTTTCTTGTAAATTGCTTGAATTGCATTTATAAAATTTTCACCAAAATCCATTTCCTTCAACTGTTGAAACATAAATTGCCAATTTAGATTGTCAAATGCTTTTTGTGCGTCAAGAAATATAAGTGCCATCTGTTTCCCAGGATGATTTTCATAATATTCCAAAACATTTAAGATGATCCTTAGGTTATTCTTTATCTGCCTTTTGGGCAGAAAGCCATTTTGGTCTGAGTGAATAAATTCAGTCAGAAATTTCTTCATTCTTTCCACCATTATTGCAGTGAAAATTTTATAGTCCACATTTAATAACAATATTGGTCTATAGTTTTTAATTTGTGTACAATCAGTATCTTCTTTAGGTATCAAAGTGATATTGGCTTCAGTCCACGAATTTGGTATTTTTGTCTCTGAGAAAATTTCATTGCAGAGATCTTTCAAAATCGGACTTACTATGTCTTGAAGAGCTGCATAGAATTCTGCGGGAAGTCCATCAGGTCCCGGGGTTTTATCCTTCTTTTGTCTTTTTATTGCCTCTGTAATCTCCATCATTGTTATTTTCTCATTTAACATATGTCGCATAGTCTCGGGCACCTTTGGAAGATTCGCTTCTTTTAAATAGTCCTGTATTGCCTCTTTAGAAATTGTCTCCGCCTTGTAAAGTGTCTCATAATAGGCCTTAGTGATTTTTTTCATTATGTCATTATGGCAACGTAACTCGCCTTTTGAATCTTGTAGCTTACTTATCAATCTTTTTTCTCTTTCTTTTTTCAGTCTATATGCAAGCCATCTTCCCGGTTTATTTGCAAAAAATGCCAAATTTTAAGACTTTGGAAAAGAACATCAAATCTAAAATTTTAGAAAAATATCTACACCTGTTCATCCATAGACCATAACAACAGATTCTTGTCTACTAGATCTATGGCTAAATGAAATCATGTTTGTTCTTAAATCTAGTAAGAAAAAAATGCTAGAAGAAACTTAAAACACTTAAATTTAAAGAACTTCACTTTATTGTAGCAAACAGATGGCAGCAGAAATACTGAGTAGTTAGTTCCATTTAGTGTCTTTGCTTTTAATTCAAACTGATTGCAAATAGTTACAGTACATTTAAATCTAATTTCAAATTTGTTTATTTTTCTTCTTTCCTCTTGCTATCCCTTTTGTGCTAGATTTTTTTAGACTATGATGGTAATAACTCTTTTATCTTCTACTGGCCTTATATAAACTTCTCTGGATGCTCTTTTGACCATTTATTTTTTACTTAAATAAATAAAGACAATAATGAATGAAGACTATTAAGAAATTAACTGTCTATTAGGAAAAAGACCCACTTTTGATGGAACTGAAAATGAAACTAATTTTATTTAGTGAGAATGGTTAAATATCCTCTTTTAAAAAACAGATTGGAGAGGGAGAATGCTAAGAGGTTATCAGTGGAGAAAATAATCTATTTTGATTGTAAGATATGTGAAAAAAATACATTAAAAAACTATATAAAAAAATCCACCCCAAGTGGACAAATGAAATAGTTGTCTTGCCCTTCTAGTTCCAAGTCATTTTTTGAGATGAAATTGGAAGTGCTACATAGCTATGCAAATTATTATTTTATTATACAGGTAATCCTCGAGTTACAACCACAATTGGGATTGTTAAGTGTGTCACACCTGATTTTATGACTTTTGTCGCCAGGGTTGCTAAGTGAATCAGTCTGGTTGTTAACTGAATCACACAGTTGTTAAGTGAATCCAACTTCCCCTATTGACTTCGCTTGTGAAGCTGGCTGGGAAGGTTGCAAATGGCGGTCACATGACCCCAGGTCACTGCAACGGGTGCAAATACATGCCAGTTGCCAAGTGCCTGAATTTTGATCATGTGACAATGTGGATGCTACATGCTATGACGGTTGTTAAGTATGAGGACCAGTCATAAGTTGTCACTTCAAATGGTCTCTAAATGAATGGTTGTAAATCGAAGACTATCTGTACAGTAGAACAACATTAATGGTAATACTATAACTCGGTGTTGTTCAATCTTTGCATGCTGGCTGGGGGATCCTGCGAGTTCACATACATGCATCTTAAAGTTGATAAGGTTGAGAGACACTGCTGTAACCCTTGAGGCATGGCTCTCCAAACCTTTGAAGCCTTAGTACTTACCCCTCTGCCTCTCCCGGACTTTAGGCTTGGCAAAGCGTCGCCGGTTCAACCCTGCTTTGGGTTTCTTGTGTTCCACAGAACCTCCTTCTTCAGGGCTGGTGGTCATGCAGGAGCCCATGCTGTCATCGTCTGTCACCTCCCCATTCCGGCTATCCAATACTTCAGATCTCCGGGGCAGTTGTTTGTTACAACAGTGATCATCTAGGTTGGAAGAGAGAAAGGCTAAGTGAATCACATTTGGCGAGGGAGATGGGAAACTCAGGAGCACTCACCTGGGTTACCAATTTCCTCCAAATCACAGCATTACCGCATACTTTTATTTTAATAAGGATAATCAGCCTATGGTTCTTCATGGGTGGCTAAATTCAACATCTATCAACCCCAATCAGAATGGCTCCTGATTGGACTACAATGCACATCATCCCCATTATGTTTCTCAGCTTTGGGGGCTTGAAGATAAGTGGACTTCAACACCTAGAATTCCCCAGCCTGTCTCAAAATTCTGAATGGGCCCTCAAGCCAAAAGTGTCTACTACCATGGTCAATCCCTATCCTAAATTGTTCCCTCCTTTCTCTTAAGAGCCAAACAACAACAACAACAATAATAATGTTGGAAGGAACCTTGGAGGTCATCTAGTCCAACCCCCTGCTCAGGCAGGAAACCCTATACCATTTCAGACAAATGGCTGTCCAGTCTCTTCTTAAAAACTTCCAGTGTTGGAGCTTCACCGCTTCTGGAGGCAGGTTGTTCCACTGGTTAATTGTTCTGTCAGGAAGTTTCTCCTTAGTTCTAGGTTGCTTCTCTCCTTGATTAGTTTCCATCCGTTGCTTCTTGTCCTGCCTTCAGGCGCTTTGGAGAATAGCTTGACTCCCTCTTCTTTATGGCAGCCCCTGAGATATTGGAACACTGCTATCATGTCCCCCCTCGTCCTTCTCTTCATTAAACTAGACATACCCAATTCCAGCAACCGTTCCTTATGTTTTAGCCTCCAGCCCCCTGATCATATTTGTTGCTCTTCTCTGTACTTGGCACCCTTTCTTGGCACCCATTCTCCTCCCCCCCTTATTTCTAGATTATTCTTCTTTCCAACAAAGTGCTTTCCACTAATCCAGCAAAACCACTACATTAGCCTCCAGAACGTTTACCAGCATCCAGGCGGGCTGAAGAGATGAATTTGTCTAGCTGGCAGCGCAAGAAATCTCGTTCTTCTTCCAGGTCCTCGATTCGCTTCTGCAGCCAAGAGTTCCTTTCCAATGCCATATGTAACTGGGTCTTCATATTGGTCACCAGGGTCAATGATGGAGCTGGTATCTCTGGAACCTCTAAGACACAACAAGAGGCACAACACGGGGCTCCATTCATACACCATGCTGAACTGGGTTGAAACAGTTTGGCAGTTCCTAGTTCAGCGTATTGTGGGGATATCCAATCATTCTCTTAGAATGCATTGTGAATCAGGTCACCAGGTTTAGCCATGATGTGGCTGATTTGTTTGGGTATAGTACGGGAGTGCTTAAAGTTTGTGAACCCTGTTGAATGTTCAATATTTCTGTGACCTAAAATGTGATCTGTTCTCCACACTAGTCCTAAAACTAGATAAAGAGACCACAATTAAACAAATGAGTCAAAAACACGATACTTGTTCATCTATTTATTGAGGAAAATGATTCAAAGCTACTTGTCTACGTTATACCGAAATACAGAATTAACACAGGCAGTCTGCAGAAGTCCCCTGACCATTCCTGGTAAGAAACGTCTTTGTAAAATGTTAAGACAAGGGCAGTGTTTGCCTGATACGATAAATCACAAAACAGCCAACCACATTGCAGCTTAGTCTGTTGTGCAAATTTCTACCTAGAAAACATGTGCTCTGCTAGGAAGCTACAGTCTCTCACAGTTGTAAGGATTGTATTGAACAGGGGTAGGCAACCTTGGTTCTTTTATGACTCGTGGACTTCAACTCCCAGAATTCCTGAGCCAGCATGGCTCCGCTTGGAAACCTCTCCCTGTCCCCTCAGCATGGCTGGCTCAGGAATTCTGGGAGTTGAAGTCCACGAGTCATAAAAGAGCCAAGGTTGCCTACCCCGGTATACAACATCTCCCACATTTATAGAAATCTATTAGGACTATTACTAGTCCTTGATTAACAACCAACTTATCTAGTCTTTGATTAACAACCGTCACTAAGCAATGTGGTCATTAAGCAAAGTATCACATGACTATGACAGATTTAAAATTTCACTTCTGCTGTGGACATTAAACAAGACACCGGAGGTTGTTAAGTAAGATATCATGTGACCACAACTTCTGATTTTGCTACTGGTTTTTCCATTGACTCTGCTTGTTGGAAGCTGGCTATGAAATATGCAAATGGAAATCACATGACCGCAGGATGCTGAAATGGTCATAAATGCCTGGCAGCTGCAAAGTGCCCAAATCTCAACCACATGACTTGAAGCATTGCAACAGTCATAAGTGCGAGGACCAGTCCCAAAATTATTTTTTCAGCATTGTCATAACTTTGGATAGTCACTAAATAGAGCAGTTGTTAAATGAGGACTATCTGTACTTGGGTTCAGTCTCAGAAAAGGACACCACTTCAAGTTTTATTGTTTTTTTCATTTTACAAACAAGTGCTTAAGAAACAACGTGGTGGCAGGGCAATCAATTGTCCACAAAACAAAGTCATATTCATAAAGTTCGAATTAAGTCATTAAAAACCTCCTCTCTTTTCCCTCTAATGACATATTATATTCAAATTGATATATTACAATACAACTAAATCAGTCATAGCAATCCTCAATAAACTTTCGTCTAAATAAATCTACAAATCCAAATCCTGTGTTGAGTTTAACTATTTCACTTACTGTGTTCCATATTTCTAATCTAAACACCTAGTTAACACTTCGGGGGTCTCCCCATAACCTTTTTCCTTAACATATTCAATAAGCATTTATTAATATCATTTCTTCCTTTTTCTTATTCCTCTTCCATTACAAATGGCTATCAATTCTAATAAAAAAAGAAAGTATTAATTCAAATAAGAAAGGGGGGAAAAAAGAACAAGAGAAAAAATACCTTTCTATTTCTATTATTCTTTATAATCTAACAATCAATCCCTCAGTATCTGTATCAAATTTCTTTACCGTCCTCCCAAAGTTACTGTATCCAAAACATATTAATACATAGACAAGTTATTATTAAGTTCAAACCTTAATTAATTTTTATTCAATCTAACCTCTTATTTAACTATCTTAAGCCATAAATCAATCCATATCTAATAAGCCTTTTAAACCCATTACCTAAAACCTTAAGTCACATTCTTAAATCTTATTCTGGCTTTCCTTTTATGCCAAACCGGTTTCCATAACAAGGCCTCTATATCAATGAACAAGTCACTCTTTATGCCTTGTAGAACCCTTTGAATCAAACAGAGACGTCCTCTTTTCTGTTTTAGAGACCTAGCTCCTTTGTAAGTAGTCCCTTGTTGTTTTGAAAAGTCAAATCTCCACATTTGAAACTGTTGAATAGCCGGCTCAGTTATGTCCAACTTTGTAGATGATAGTTGTTTATCCAGGCTACCGTAGTTCTCAGCTTGTTGTATTTGTCTGTCCATTTCTATTGGTTTTAAGGTTGTAAGTGGTTTACTTACAATCCTTTTTGATTCCTCAGAGATCTCATCCGCATGCATATGAAATAGGATGGAATCTTCTTTACCTTTAGTTAGTCCCGCTTCTGTTGTTTTTTGGTCTATAGAGTGCTCAGATAAGGTCTGGGAGTCAACTTGTAGATTCAAAGAAGAGTTTCTGTTTTTTATTTCCATAGTAAATTCTTTTATTTGCAAACATATTTCATCAGTAGCTTCGTAAAGTTTTTCCACTATAAGTTTATAGTCAAGTTGAACCAAGGGTTGCTCCATTTCAAAAATAATTACAAACAGTCTGTATCATTTAGTAGTGGCTATGTTCAGAAAACATTTAATCAATGTCCACCCCCACCAGTACAGCTGTTAATTTTCTTTGTATTTTTCCTTTTGTGGTAATCTGAAAGTCAAGGTCAATCTGAGTCATCAGAAAAAAGGGAAAGTTGCAATTTTAACTTTTTCCACAAGGTGTCCTCAGTACAATGTAAAAATCTTCTCCCATAGACCAGGAATCTCATAAACAAGTCAGGAAACACAGAGAAAAAAAGAATTCAAGTCCAATAGCAGATTCAATATTAAAAAGTTTTCCAAGACCCCAAAGCGAAAAAAAAAAGAATAAAAATAGAGAGAGAAAAAAAGTCACTTTAAATTAATTCAATCCATAAGCTTCTTTTTCCCACACTCACCAACGCCGCCTTCTCAGAGCAGGGAAATAATTTCAAAGGTGCTTTTTACAGGCACAAAAAAAAGGAGAACCAAGAGAGGGAAGGTAAAAAGTCTCACCCGGCTCAGCCACGGTGGTTCCTGTGCTTAGATGTTCTTCTGACTTCTGGTTTCAGTGGCAAGGTGAACGGCCATTTTACTGGCCGTTCTTTCCACCGTCGGCCCAAAGGAGCAATCTCGGTCCTTGGAAGAAGCTGCCGCTCTCCCAAGGACGACGAGGACCTCCTCACCGGTAGCCGCCCCTCCAAGGTGGCTTTTCGACCTGATTAAGGGTCTACCGGCAGCAGAGAATCAGCTGGCGAAGAGAGCAGTCTCCTTGTGCAGCTGCGAGCGCCGCAATCCGGAACACCACTTCTTATTGCGTTCTAAATAAGTGCTATCTTGGTGTGCTCTCACCTGCCTCACAGCACTTTCTGGAGACAGAATCCTCAGTGCTACACAGCCGCGGTCCCAAGATACCCCAGTTCCCTTTTCTACTACATAGAGTCATAAAGGCTCGTTTCCAAGCCAGAGGGGCTGATTCCTACATGTAGCTTATAAATGATAGTTTCTGAGTTGAGGATGGGAACCCAGCCATCTGTAATTTGCCCTAATGATTATTAAGTAAATCATGGCTCATCATGATGAAGAAGTGCAGTCAATATTCTTACTAGGAGCTCCATGGGTATCTCTATACTCAGAAGCCAGAAATGGGCTTATCTGGATGTGATTTAATGCAGCATAGGAACTCACTCAATAGGTTGGATTCAAATTTTCATCTTGATTTCAATAAAATGCAAAGCTAGCTAACATGCATCTCCCTGAAACATTACTCCGTGATTACCAGAACTTTGCCTCAAGCCTGGTACAATCGACCTCATTCCCAGCCAATATACACACCTTGCTTTGTTCCAGCTCCACGGCGACCCCTACCTACATCTGCTCGCTGGTGGTGGTTACTTTCATTCATCGTTCTCCCTCCCTGAGTGAGATGAATATTTCCAACCTAGAGGACAGGATGGAAGTTATAACTAGGGCTATGGATCACACATGCCTCCGTTCTCCATTCCCAGAAACCTCTGATCTAGATTTTCCTCCCAAGTCAACTCCAAGTTAAGGAGTCTGAAGGTCTCCCTTCAACAAAATTCCTCAGCCACTAAGGAGCCTCTTTCAGGCAATCCTAAATGGCTACCTTTCACAATTGTTGGTTTAACATTTTTTTAAGTTAAGAACGGCATATACGGGAGGGGAAAATACGGTAGAAATAGAAATAGCACAGAAATAGCAGCAATGGTAGAACTGAAACCAAGAGGCCTATGCTTCCTCCTGAACAGAGAAACTATTGAAATTCCGTAACAGGATGCACATTCCCCAATTCCTGCAACTAGTGGAGTTACTAACATTCGGATTGGAAAATCTGTGGTTTTTCATTTGTTCTTATAGTCCCCATCAATCCTAACCAATTCGCATGCTGCTGAGGCCAACATCCTCTGCAGAGATTGAGTTTTCTGGGTGACTTTGGGCCAATCACCAGGAGACAGTGTGTTCTAGTCCTGCCTTAGCCATGAAAGCCAGCTGAGTGACTTTGGGCCAGTCACAGGGTTGTTGTTATGGGGAAAATAAGAGGAAAAGGGTGTGCTGGATATGTTTGCCACTTTGAATTATTTATAACTATAAGTGGGATACAAATAAATAAAAATAAAAATTTGGTAAATAATACATAAATAAACCAGGCCTCTCTTCTCCCTCCCCCCTCCCAAACAACCCTCTACAATATTTCTGCTTTGTTTTTTATACCATTCCTTCATTCATCTCAAAGTAGTGAGCATTGTTCACACATACACAATTTCCATTTTAATTTTTCCACCACTGTGTGGGATAGTTTAGACAGTGGCCGCCTTTGCACATCATGTTCTCATGGTGTGCTTCATTCTGCTTTGAAGATGAAAGAGGAATCCAACTACTAACTGGCTCAATTATTCAATTTGGGAGTTTTATGCTGAGTGGATATCTCTTTTGGAACTTCCTCATTGTTCATGCACAGCTACTTATTGGCTCACTACACGAATAGAGTATAACGAAATCTCTACCTGAGCCAGGGTAATAGTTGGGGATCCAATATTCTTCACACAGCTCCTTGCTTCCTGGGAACAACTTCAAACATGTGATTGAAGGCAAAAGAGAAATTTAGAAAGTTTGGCGAACAATTCCAGAAACTGGTACAGTCTATGACAGGTGGATGACAGCATCTTTCAAAATAACTATATAGGAGATTTTTTTAGTACAGGAATTTACTTGCACCCAAAAGTATTATTTAAAAGATGGTGGTATCTGAATCAATTCACTATTCTATGAATTATGACACTTTTTCTATAATGGCTTATTCACATATGGAATTCATTTCTTGATTTTAAAGCCTTAAGTGATGAAAATATATGAATATTTTGAAAACAAAACACAATCAAAGATCAGTTCAGTGCCCTGTGAGGAGGGTTGGGCTGAGGCAGAGTGACTGGCCCAAAGTCATCCAGCTGGCTTTCATGGCTAAGGTGGGACTTGAACTCATGCTCTCTCCTGGCCCAGGAACAAAAAGTCTGCAGAAAACCAACCAAGCTCAGAGAACTCCAAAACCCCAAAAGAAATATCCATATTATTTCTTTGGTAACAATGTAGAAATAGATTACTGACCAGGTATTTTTTTTAAAAGCAATGCCTAGAGGTTGGCATAAAGTTTTACTTGCTTGCCCTGAGGACAGAACAATGTAATGCCATACAACTACCTACCCATTTTGCTATGTTTATATAGTCCTCTTAGTCTCAATCAGAGGCCAATTTTGCATCGCTCACAGTAAACCTGTGTATGTTGCTTAACGTTCTTCAAGACTGAAGTCCCTGCAGATTAAACTCGCAAAGAGAGAAACTATTTCCTTTGCTTTTTTAAAAAAAAACAAACCCTGTGCCTTACTTATCAGGGTTGAGCATCAATTTTTATTTAGCCCTTTAATCCAAACCAGTTAATAACTGATCAACTGTCTTTCTTCTCACCAAATAACTTGTCACTCATCAGTATCTTACAACCACACCCATCCTCTTCTTTGCCAAAAATAAAGGGAACCCTATAAACTAAACATTTCCAGTTTGATGCACTCCAGATGGGTTGTATTCAGCTACCATAATTATGGGAGTGCCTCTAGAGAACAGCAAGTTTGAAAAGGTTGATCTAAATCAGTCTCCAAACTTGGCAATTTTAAGACTTGTGGACCAACTCCCAGAATTCCTCAGCCAACCGACGTGTCCAACCTTGGCAGCTTTAAAACTTGTGGACTTTAACTCCCAGAATTCCTCAGCCAGCATGGGGAATTGATCCCCTATCTAAACAATGGTTCATCTGTTATTGAATCTCTACTCTTTCTAATAGAGAACAGGGGGAAAATTGTGTCTATTGCAGAGATCTCACATATCTGGAACTGGCTGCCGGCCAAGGTTTTTCATGCAGAGGGTGAAGCTGAATTTATTTTTAATTATTGCAATGCAGAGGCACCTTTTCTGATTCCATTCCAGGAACCAGAAACATCTCTAGGAAGCCGGTCCATCTGCCCACACCTATCAGCACTTACCACCCCAATACAGTATGTATTTATGAATTACAGTTATTTATATCTGATCTTTCTAGATACAAATTCTTCTCAGGTGACAGAAAAGTAAAACACATTTTAGAATCTCCTCTCGAAGGACCAATATCAACATTCAACAAGGTATCTCAATTATTCCAACAAAACAGCTGATGCCAGATGGACCCAGAGAGGTCAGAATCATTGAAACAGGTACAGGTAATCCCTGACTTAATTTGGTCCAAAGTTTCTGTTGCTAAGCAAGGCAGTTGTTAAGTGAGTTGTGCCTTATTTTACAATGTTTTTTGCCAAAGTTGTTAAGCAAATCACTGCAGTTGTTAGGTGAATCACACAATTGTTAAGCAAATCTGGCTTCTCCCATTGACTTTGCTTGCCAGAAGCCAGCTGTGAAGGTCAAAATGGTGATTACATGACCCCAGGACAGTGTAATTGTTGTAAATACATGCCAGTTGCCAAGTCCCTGAATTTTGCTCATGTTACCTCAGGAATGCTGTGATGGTTCTAAGTGTGAGAAGCAGTCATAAGGCCCCTTGGTCCTGTGCCATTGTAACTTTGAGCAGTAACTAAAAGAATAGTTGTAAAGTCAAGGACCACCTATAATTCTATTTGTGTTCTTCTCAGAGAGTTGTGTTGGTGACAGATGCCTTGTGATGGAATGCAAGAATCCAGAGCCTTAAGGTCTCTTTTGCCACCTTCTTTCCCTCTTTGCACAGAAAAATCAAACTTTATCATTACTTTCCCCCCCCACCATTGACAGGGTACCCATACTGTCCTGAACTATGCCATTATTGTTGGGCTCTTGAACAAACCACAATCTCCAGATTTATTGCATATCTTGCAATAAATCAAACCCAGACAGATCATATCACAGTTCAACACGTGAACCAACCCAGTAATGGATCCTATCAACACACTTAAGTATTACTCTGTATATAGCAGGATCAGGAGGTGAAATCCTAAATAACTATTAACCCAAGATCCTAATATTCTGGCAGTTCTATAATCTTTTTCTTTGCATGATGGTTCTGCCATGTCCTAATCCAACCATCAGATTCTGTAATTGATAGCAGGCTTACAATTATACAAGTAGCCCTCATTTAGCAACCACATTAGGACTGGCAACATGGTTGTTAAGTGAGGTGCTTACTAAGTGAAATTGCGACTGTGCTTATGATCTTACTTCAGCTTTCCTTTCCTTTGTTTCACAGAAGGATTGGTCATTAAGTTAATTTTTCATCACCATTGTAACTGTGAACAGTAGCTAAATGAATCAGTCACTAAACAAGGATTACTTATACTTCCATTCTTATATCTCCTTCCTGTCCTTCTCTCACCCCACCTAATCTAAAACTGGTTTGGATTTATTTTAGTCGGTCTCTGCACTATATTTCAGCCTTCCCCAGTCTGATGCCTTTAAGATGTGCTGCATATGTACCTATTATGTCTAATCAGGGAGTTGTCCTTCAGATCTAGAGGGCACCAGGTTGGGGAAGGCTGCTGCATCCAGATTTCCCATTATTTAAACCATCTGTAAATTAAATGTGACCCATTCCCACATTCCCTTTAATAACTTGTAACATATTTAGTTAGCTATAGTTGGTAGTTAATATTGGGGAGGGTTGTAAAATGGAGTTATAAATGTATAAGACTGATCTGAACATAAAGAAAAGTATATTACTATATGCAAACCTTTATAGCACCATAACATCTCAAAAATGTATTTCTGCATGAACCTGCTATTCCCAATCAGCCATTTGCTTGGGATGCATTTCCTCTGATTACAATACTCAAAGCAGCAAAAAGGAACCCAGGTCCTAGTTAGCAGAAGTGGGACTTTCTTTAAAACTTGATTCTTGATTTGTTATCAACTTTCCACAAGTGAATGGCTATATTCACACTTTATGCTTGGTCCCAGCTTGATAGGTTTTCACTTAGTAATATGCAATTATTTGCTATGCACTGTGTTGGCAATGTCTTCACAATTTAAATCACCATTCACCAATGGATACAGATTTAGTTGCCATTTCAAACAGTCCTTGATTACAATCATTCATTTAGTGACCATTTGAAGTTACAACAGCACTGAAAAAAGTGACATGTAATCAAACCTCACACTTACAACTGTCATAGCACTCCCACAGTCACATGATCACAATTCAGGCACTTGGCAACCAGTATGCATTTATGATGGTTGCTGTGTCCAGGGGTTATTGATCACTGCTTGCAATCTTTCCAGCTGGCTTCTGACAAGCAAAGCCAATGAGGGCAGCCAAATTTGCTTACCAACTACGTGATTCACTTAACAACAGGAGTGATCTACTTAACTGTGGCAAAAAATAAGGTCGTAGAATTGGGTGTGAGTCACTTAACAACCACCTTGCTTAGCAATGGAAATTATGGTCCCAAATGTGGTCTTGAGTTAGCTTAGTAACTTTCCAATTAATCAAAATACATCACTTGTTTTTCTGTAAGCATTGTAATATCGTTTTATATACATGAACAGTAATAGGAAAAAAATACCTCTGAATAAACCAAATTAGGGGTTTTTATCTTAACTGACTCCCCTTTCCCAAGCTACCTCTTGCCACATACATGATTAGAAGACCTCAATCTAAAAGTCAAAAGCCAGCAATGTCAGGAGGGGAGGCAGTTTTACAGGTGCTAGTGAAACAGACTGGAGTCAGAAAGTTATTTTTCAGCAGCATCTGAGACCTACCAAGGGGGCTTGAAGCACACCTGTGAGGAGTCTCTAAGGTGCACCCAAATGCTTAGTCCAGCCTCTTCTTCAAGTGGGGAGGGGGAGGACTTCGTTAATTCATGCCCCACGCTTCAACCCACCCTTTCCTACAGCCCCCCTCCTCCCACTCTGCATCCCCCGATACCAGCAAACTGCCGGCACGGCACAACGATGCCACTCAAATACCCTGGGCGGGCGAATCCATAGCAACCCTTCTCTTCCCCCTCTCCATTAAATCAGGCCTTTGGCAAAGAAAATCCAGAGTCCATTACCACTACTCCAAAATGGCCTCGCCTGTTGCCCTGCTATGAAGAAACCCTCCCTTTTCTCAACCCCTCCCCCCCAAATTCCAAATCTTGCGGCTGACGCGCAGCCCAGGACTTTAGAGACGCCAAAGGACCTCCGCGCGCCTCCGCCGGTGCGCCTAGGCGCTCGGAGCGTGACAAGTTAGGATGTTTTGGCGAACTGATCTCGAGGGAAGCCCGCGCCGCTTCTTCGAGGCGGAGATGATGCGGAAAGCGTCGGGGGAAACCGATGGGGCGACGGGTCGACCTGCAGCCTCGCTCCTGCCAGGACCCCCTCCCGCCTTAACTTTTTACCTTCCTCGCCCGGGTGGCCGAAACCACAGCGGAGCGTCCCAAGTCGGAGCTTTGGGTAGGCGACCGGCGCTGGGGAGCTCCTGTAAAGTGCGGCGTGAAGAGGCGGGGCTGAGGAGGAGCAAAACGGCCTTAAGCTGGGAAAGGGGGGGCGGGTAAAACCTAAGCGAGAAACCCAGGCATCTCTACGGCTGTGGCAAAATCCCAGGGCCCGGTTCACCTACCTTCCGACAAGTGATTCCTGGCATATGTGGGAATGAGCTATTAAGAATGTAGATCGTCACACCTCAGCAGTGTATTTTCCACAGAAGCCGTTTAAACACCCAGCTTGTCAGAAATCAAGACCGGCAGGGTAGGCCAGAAGGCTGGCTAAGTATGCAACCCAGTGTGAAGACGCCTATTTTCTCACAGGATCAAGGAAAGGCAAAACTTCTATTTCTATACAGGAGCAGAAGTCTACGCTTCTGGATTACCCACCCAAGGAGTGCACCAGAAATCAGCCCTAGTTATTTTTATACAATTTACCGCAGAAAACAAGAGAGAATTGCTGATTGGGTTACAAAGTTACATGACAGTCATATGTTAAATTTAAATTTACTGACAAAGAATTAAAGGGAGTCTAGTATAGCTATTTTGAGCTATACTCGTCTCCCTTTAATTCTTTGTTGGTAAATTTAAATTTAACACACAAATAGTCTATCGCAGAATGTGACTGCCTGTGAAGGCTCCTAGATTGGGGCTGAAAGGCGAAAGCGGAAGCAATATACTCCGTCCCATATTTGGGGTAGACCAGGTTGCCCTCTCACCAGAAAACACATGACAATCATATATTCCCACAAAGCAAAGCCATCACATGAAACCCATAACTATTAATAAATCCTACTTCATCATCATATAAATTGACTACCCTGGTATGATTTTTACTATGCTAATGCTAAACTTTGTTCCCCTTTGGAGCCTTGTCCAGATGCCTCTAACCACTGCTTAAGCTAACCACATCACCTTCCTTGATTTCAGTAATAGATTCATTTGCAAGATGTCTTAGCTAAGTATCAAGGGTCCAATCCGTTTCTCTATACAGTTAGTCCTTGACTTACAACCATTCGTTTAGTGACTTCAGAGTTACATCAGCACTGAAAGTATCTTATGACCATTTTTCATACTTATAACTGTTGCAGCACACCATGGTCATGTGAACAAAATTTGGATGCTTGGCAACCGGCATGTATTTTTGAAGGTTGCAGTGTCTTGGGGCCATGTGATCACCTTTTGCGACTTTCTGAAAGCAAAGTCAAGGGGAAGCCAGATTTACTTAACATCGGGGTTATTAACTGCAGTGGTTCTCTTAACAAGTGTAGGAAGAAAGGTCCCTCCTTAGCCAGGAAAGTCAGCTGGGTGACTTTTGGCCAGTAACCCTCTCTCAGCCCAAGCCACCTCACAGGGTTGTTTTGGGCAAAATAGGAAGGTGTGTTAGAAGTTTGCCACCTTGAGTTATTTGTAAAATAAAGACAGGATACAATAAATGAAAATAAATATGGTGAATAAAAGGACAATGCCTAGTAAGATGGAACTGAACCCAATGGTTGGGATTCAAAGTGAATAGTAAGGATTTTAAAAAGTGGCAGAACTTTTTTTTATGCAAATCAAATCACATTTCTTTCTATTGCCTCATTGCCTAACCATGATTATGTGCCATCAGCTTGTTGACCGTTACTGAGCACATAGATTTGGTCCAGGATAATCTATTCCTAATCTGGTTTTTCAAGTCTTCCAATGGTGCACCCATCAGCATTGCTGCCAATTGTCCTCTTCTTCTCTTTTCTTCCACCTTTCCTAATGTTGGGGCCTTCTCCAGTGTCACAGGTTCTTTTGTCGGTATTCAAAGTCAGCTGGCTCTCAAAACTCAGAGGCCAACACAAGCCCCCTTGGTCTTTAGGCCATCTGCACACCAGCACAATACTCACAGCTCCTTCTCACAGGTTTACTACCCCTTCTAATACTAGACTACTACAATTTGTGAGCCATGCTGCTAAAGAATAGTATTTCTGTCTCTTGGCCCTAGGTTGTTTCCAGTGGCTCTATTTCCACAAAGTAACAAAAACTACCCACCCAAAATTACTCCAGTGCAACAACACCCACCACACCCAGCTGCTTTTCTGGGCTTTTATAGCTGCTGGTTGCTGGGCAGTTGAGCTGGCTGGGGAGAGGTCTTAAAGAGGCAGGGCACCATCAGCCCAGGTGGTAGCCAATTTTCAGGCAGCCGGCCTTCTCACACCTAGAGAGCTAGGTCTTTGCACCATGTGTCTGAAGTAGAATAATTGGAGTCTGGTCATCTGTACCTCAGGTGAGACCTCTGGATTGATTTGATCAATGATCCATTTGTTTGTTTCCTTGGCTGTCTATGGTATTCTCAGGAATTTTCTCCAACACCAACATTTGAAAGCGTTAGTCATATTTTCATGTTAACTTAGAAAACACATGCATAAGACAGAATTTATCTATACTGTAATTATTCTCTGTCCTGCAAAGAGGAAACTATTTAGGATACAACATCCTGACTTCATCAATGACAAGTCTGGAGGTTCCAGAAGCTGACTAATAGGGTCAAGTACATATTAATTGGAACTATTTTCCATTTACAGTAGAGACTCTCAGGTGATTTACCTCAGTACAGAATGAGGCAAATAAAATCCAAGTGGAACCCTGTCATAACTGGGGAAAGAAAGGGTTGTGGGAGAATGTGAAGAAATTTAAAAGAATGCCAAAATAGAATTGGACATGATTTTACCACCCAAAAGCCATAATTAAAATTAAAAATAAACCAGGGGTACCTGATTATTATCCTAGTGAGTTGAGGTTATGACCTCTATGAAAATAAAAGGTTGCACCCCAATCATCTCTCATTCTTCCATTGATCAGAGATGAGCATGAACAAGTGACTGCCATAGATGCTTTTCTCCAAATCTGTTTATAACTCCTTACACCATGAACTGTTATATGTGGAATGTGAGGCAATCACCTAACCATTTCTTAAAATAAAAATAAAATAGGCCAAACTGGTTCATAGGGAAGTACTATACTTATAAGTAGCATCAATGAAGTTTTCTATGGACACCTCTGGTCACTGATTTGTCTAGTTTGGGGAAAATAAAGTCTATTTCAAACTTGGTTCTGACCTCTGTATATTCCCTATTAGGGGGAAAAAAAGCAAAAATAAAGAGAGGCATTGTAGTTTTTAAAGAAATACAATTTGAGATTCAGGTTGAGATATTGCTGGTTAAAAGGGAAAAGACACATTTAAGATGAGCTTGTCCTCTACATGACCCGCTCTCTCCTTCAATCGGAGAGGGGGGGGGACCCCCTGGAGGGGAGGGCAGAGGACTTTGTGCAGTATCTGTATGACAAAGTCGCGCGGATTCGAGAAGGCTTGGACTCCGACTGGTTGGCCCAGGGGGAGGAGACGGGAGCAGGTCTTGAGACGGTTGTATGGGAGGAGTTTGACTCTGTTGCTCCTGAAGA